ATGCTGCTTTTGTCTGTCTATCTATCTATCTTTGTTTATATCTATCTGTCTATATATCTATGTATGGATGTATGGATGTCCGTATGTATCTATCTATCCATCACATTCTATTCAAATCTACCTATTTATATATTTCGTCTCTTCCTATCTATCTATCTATCTATCTTTATCTATCTATCTGTTTATATATATATATATATATATATATATGTCCATGTATATATATATATATATATATATTTATATATTTCGTCTCTTTTTATATAATGAATCTAGGTATCTATTTCTATCACATTGAATTCAAATCTATTATATATATATATATATATATATATTTCTTCTATCAAATATTTAAAATTTTTATATATAATATAAGTCATTATATCGATCATTTCTCATATATTTTCATATTTATATCATATCCATCTCATTCTGTACATATCTATTTATTATTTTTAATTTGTTTCATATCACTCTATCTCAGTCTGTGTATATCTATCCAATTCTATTCATATCTATGCATCTACCTTGTATTTTGATATCTATCTATCTATCTATCTATCTTATTGTTATTTGTATATATATAAAGATTCATTTATATAGGTCCTCAGTTCATTATCTATTCTTATCTATTCATATCTATCTATCTATCTATCTATCTATCTATCTATCTATCTATCTATCTATCTTATTGTTATTTATATATATGTAGATCTATTTATCTAGGTCCTCAGTTCATTATCTATCTATCTATCTATCTATCATTTTTTATAACTATCTTTTTGTATCTCATCCAGTTCATATCTATCTATATATCTATCTATCTATCTATCTATCTATCTATTATATATTTATATATATATATATATATATATATATATATACATATATATGCACATATAACATACACACACACACACATATATATATATATATATATATATATATATATATATATATATATCCATTCCTTCTTTTCAAATCTTTTTATATCTCTTATTGCCAGCGCATTATATCTATCTATCTATCTATCTATCTATCTATCTATCTATCTATCTATCTATCTATCTATCCCAGTATTTTATATGTATAGATCTATTTCTTCTCTTCAGATAAAGATATTTTTATATCTCGTTTCCTTAATATTTATCTATCTACCTAGGTAGCACGCTATTTGTCTGTTGCTATCTATCTATCTATCTATCTATCTATCTATCTATCTATCTATCTATCTGTCTGTCTGTCGTAGTCTGCCCATATCTATTAGTATGTTCCTATCTACCTTTCTATCTAACCCAGTCTGTTAAATATGTGGATCTCCAGTCCTAAGACCATAAATCTCTAACGCTAAATATATGCTAAATAGTCGAACTTATTTTGGGAAAAAATTAATTACAATAAAATATTAATGTTAGCATCATTCGCAAAAATAGCATTTCTTCTTATACAGAATATGTTTATACTTTAAACTCAGAAAGTGTTGATAAACCATAAAAATTTACAACAAAGAATAAATACCTATATTTAATATATACAAAAGATTTTTTTAGTATCCACAATTTTCGTACTAAAACAATTTAAATCGGAATTTTTAAAACGGGGAGGTGAATCTAACGCACGGCATATTTGGAAAGTGCCTGAAAACCATTCCAAAGATTGGTACACGATTTGGGATTTCGACTGAACCTTTCAAAAATTGTCGATGGTTTTAACATTCCGGCGAGGATTCGGTCGATTCACATGTAAGACAACCTTGCGTGTAAGCATGCCAGATTATACGCTTTCTTTCTTTATGGTTTGATCAACATAGTTGACGTATAAACAACAGAGGAGACGTCTGAAATAGATTGTCGCCTTGCTGCTCTGGCACATAGGTTTCTTTTGGAACATGATGTGGGCGGCAATTACATATATGGCGTGTAGCACCAAAAGTGTCCAAATCGCGTAACAGCATAATAGTCCATACCACAAAATGTTTAATATAAACTAATTTAGTTTCTTTTTCCAGTTTTTCAGATAAGACTGTTCGCTATCTTCACACCATTTGTCGTAAGAATCACTGAAAAACCCTTTGAGTTATTCAGCTCCAGATAGGATATTTTAAAATTGTTTTTTGCCAGCCACACTGTATTACTAAATGAGCAATAGTGAGAGAAAAAAGATTATTGAAGCTTTCAGTAATGGTATCCAACATTCTTAAATTGGCTTCCATCTTCAAGTCCGTTCAAGAATCATCAATATATTGGTGAGTTAGTTTGTTTTTTTTTTAAAAAAAAGAGAGGGAAGAGTAGAGAGGAAACCTCGATCAGGAGGTTACAAAACGAAGAGGAATCATCATGTCACCATAGAGCTAAAGAGATCACTTTGAAAAGATTAAACTTAACCCAAAAAGAACGTTGGCCCATTACAGAGTAGTGTCAGTTTTGACAGTCCAAATAGCACTGAGAAAAAAAAACTTGAAAATGAAATCGTACATGAAACCTGTGAGGCACCTTGTTACTCGAGGACAGAAATTTAGAAGGTTAGAGAGGGTGAGGCCATCATGAATAAGTTGGAAAATGATCCTAGAATAATATGAAAGAATGATGCTGGAATATATATATATATATATATATATATATATATATATATATATATATATATATATATATGAGTTCTCATGAGAACTCTTATATAAACCATTCGGAATCATATTTTAAAAAATAATTATATTTATGCTCTAATTTGTATCGAGCCTATTTTTTTTAAAATAATAACAAAAATGCCAAAAAGAACGTTGGATTATTTACCTAATGAGAGTTTTTCCTATTTTTATATATTATTTTACACACACACACACACACACACACATATATATATATATATATATATATATATATGTGTGTGTTTGTCATCAATAATCAAAAATGGAAATTGAAGTCAACAATCAGGGTGACAGGCTGTTTCATGCTGGACGCAATTGTCAGGCCGCCTATCTCTGATATTGAAAAATTTATCCCATAAATATATTACACCTAAAAACTATATTTCTTCATATATATATATATATATATATATATATATATATATATATATATATATATATGTATAACTAAATTTCAATCTTTCATGAGCTTTGAATCCTAATAGCTATCATAATTTATTTATGTGTGTGATGAAATCAATATAAACGAAAATAACGATTCTTCTGTTAAACTTTGGAACATAATTATACATTGAATACTTTAATGTCTTAATTCAAATAGATGTTATAAAAGCCTAAAAGAATTTCAAATATATTTAAACATTTCCAAGAGACAATGGTTCAAAGCTTAATCTAACGAATGGACAATTTTCCCTTTACAAGATTTGGACAATTTTGCTGTTGCCTCCGGTATATTAACGTTACAAAAGTGTACACATGGCAACCAATGAAATCAACCAACATATAATTAAAAAAAGAAAACGAAAATCTTATCATGTCCCATTCTCAAAAATGCTGGAAGAAAAAAAAATATAATAGAAGATAAATATATTTATAAAGTTTATATATATCGTAGATTAATTAATCATATGTATAGATATTTGCTCTAGTCTCCCGACTGAGACGGGATGTGACATAAGTTTAACATGGCGAACCCGAGAGTGTCACCACGAGCCAAAACAAAAAAAATATATCCCCTCGAATTTTTAATTTATTTAAAACGTTATTAATTGGTGCAAAAATAATGACGTAATAATGTCGTTTTTTGACGTTAAAAATACGTCAAAAAAACGACATTATTACGTCATTATTTTTGCACCAACCTAAAATTCATTGTTATTACTAGAATATAATATTTTCTCTATTCAATGTGGGGTTCATCCTCGGATTAATGTTTACAGTGATATGGGAACCTCATTATTATATATACCATTTTTGCTGTGTTTCTGTTCGCAGACAGAACAAACAATTGATATCTCAAAAGTTTCCTGAAGATTAGAATTAACTTGAGAGATGATAAACCCTCAAATTTTATATGCCAATTTCTTTATAATAATTTAAATATGTATTAGGTTATATGAAAAAAATAATGACAAAATAATGTCGTTTTGACGTATTTTAACGTCAAAAACGACATTTGGGGACGAAAAAAAAAAAAAGTTCAAAAACCTAAAAAAGAAATGTTTGAAATATAAATGAAATCATAATTCCATCTGATTCTTGTTTGAAAATATATAATTTTTTTTCTTAACAAAATATATCCAAAAAAAGGAAGATGCGATGAAAGATCCCTCTAACATTTATTGCTGTAGCAAATAAACTTTAACAGTTTGTCATTTCTTACATATTACCCCAAATTGTATCTCGTTTAATTCAAGAATCTACAGGTTTTATATACATATTGTCTCTGACTTATATCTATCTATAAAATCTATCTATCTATTTATTATATCTATCTAAAATATTCTATCTATTAGTTTTTTTTCAAAAAATAATGAAGTGAAATTTCGTTTTGGTCTAGAAAAGTATCTAAAAAACGATATTATTCCGTCATTATTTTCTAATAAAAATATTAGATTTGAATTCTGTTCTTATAGAATTTTTCTTACTCAGTATGTATAATCTATCTATCTATGTTATATATATATTTGTTTGTCATTGTTATTCATATTATCCATTTGTTTTTTTATTTTGTTACTATCTATCTAAATTCTATATATCTATCATCAATCTTGATCTTACCTTTTATGTATCAGTTATATTGATATCTGTCTGTGATATCTACATATAAGCAATTTCGATCCATCCCGGAAACAAATTCCTTCTGTTCAAATAAATAAAAGATTTTATTAAATAATGTTTAAATTTGGTATATTTATTATCTAAGAATCTATCATTATTCTATCTATCTAAAATATATATTTTCAGCCTGTTTGACCATTAAACTGTTTATATTAAAATATATTTAATATCATATTTTATTATTTCAATTATCAATCTGTTATTTATATTGTTCATATTATCTAAAATATTATTATAGAAATTTTGTCAGCCTGAAATATCTATCTCAAAGAACACAAAAACTTATCGTTTATCTATCTAATCATTGCGAATACCCATGAAATCTCGTTTCTTCATATGATATAAAATCTATTTATCTATCTATCTATCTATTATCCATTTATTAGATATTAAATCATATTTTTCTGAATAATCATTGTCCATATCTGTAAGTTTTTTTCATTAACTTAATCCATATTTATTTAATATTATATGACAACTACCTTTCCTTCTGAAATAAATTTTAAATATTTAATGTAATTTATCTGGTCTCTTCATATCTGGTTAGAATATCTATCTATCTATTTTGTTAAACTTTGATATCTATCTCAATCTTTTTGAAAAATATCATCTATATATCTTTCTAAGGATTAATCTAATATCTCAATGCTCAAATCTTTCAATTCTTTTATTATCACTTGATAAATCAATTATTTTTAATCTACCTATTTAGGATCTATTAAGAATCTATCTATCTATGTTTGAAAACAATTCCTGAAAAAGAAAATTTTTCTCAGTAAATTCCAGAATTCTTATCTCACTTTAAAAAAATCACCTTTTTTTGTCGCATCCTTTTTTTTTTATCTATGGATCCCGTCTCTTCATATCGGCTTGAATATAGAATATCTATCTATCATATCTATCTATCTATCTTTCATATGAATGTTATTTTATTTATTCCTGTTCATGCGAATAGTCTTTTCATATTGCATTTTTTTCATCTATCTATATAATTCATATTGCTCATCTCCTATTGGGAATTTCTAAATCTATTTATCAGTAAAATCTATTCATTATTTTAAATAAAATATATATATATATATTTTATATGTTGGACTATATATATAGTTTCCTTTCTCTGAAGAATATTGATCGATCTATGTATTCTTTTTTCAAATACCTAACCCTAAGAAAGAGTTTAAAAATGCCCCAGGGCATCATGTGAACAGTCAGTTAACCAGTCTCAATTAAATGTTTCCATCCTGAAACTTTTTTATGAACAATTAATAAGTCATTTTGGATTGTTCTCTAAAATGAATGCGAAAGTATTATTACGAACAAACGTTGAAAAATTTATAAGAAAAATTTGTTAAAATTTTGGCCTTTCTCCAACAGACCACAGCCAGACTAATGAAGTTTCAGAGAAATAAATCACCAAAGGCGTTCCATTTCAATTTAATAAATTTACATATAAAAATGTCTATATTCTTAAATAAAGTTCTGACGGTGGCGTAATGAAGATAAATTTTGAAATGAAATTCAAGGTCAGATTGATTTCCAGTCGTTTTCTTTAGGAAAGGCATGACACCTGTTCTTTTCTATATATTATGGATTAAAATATGAAAATTATGTTTTCTTTAATTAAAAGTTTTCAAAAATTTTGGAAATTGACATGAAAAAAATTTGTTTTTTGGGTAACTGTTTGACATATATAAATATATATCATAAAAATATGCCAGCAGGCTTGATGTTTATTGAAATTTAGAAATGTTTGAAGGGCACTGTCATATTGCAAGGAAATAGTTGATTCCCTTTTCTCTTTTTTTTTGAGAGTTATTTTATATATTTGATCTTTTCTGATTATTTTATTTTCTTATTTTTTATTTCATTTTTTATACCGTCAACGACGGAATAATGGGTATGTCCCCATTCCATAAATACAGTAGTAAATACTGTATGTTGGTCTGCATTTGGAGATTTGTCTCCAGCTGTGCTGGTCAAACTTCTGCCTCCGGGCAGAGAGAATCCCCAGACGAGGCCTCTGTCGAAGGGCAGAGACTCTTCTCGGGAAACAGCTACCCGACCCCGTTATACACGGGGTCTACGGAGAATCTTTGGCCGAGCCTACGAGCTCAGATACCCCACATTAAATTCGGTCTTGTGCCACATCTGACCGCGTAGGTCGGTTGGTAGATATCCTGCAGTTGGAGATTCATTGTGGAATTCACTTGACTCACTTCTAGCAGTTGACTACTACTTTTCTACGCGCCGCTGGCGAATCTTATATGTGTTGTTCTTGTCCTAAGTATTATCGTTCATTACCAACCTTCGTGTGATTATTCTATTCAGTAAAATTAGGTTGCAAAAAATTTGACAAAGGTTTCATATTTTTCCCAAAAATATAAATATTTATCCATATATATAAAAGTTTTATAAAAAATTATTATTATATCAATTATTTTAATATCATTCATATTTAAATATTGAAATGGAAGATTACTAAAAAATACAAGATTTGCGTTTAGTTAAATCTTTTAAATTTGAATTCCCACTGAAATTTAAACACAATAGTTCATGTTAAAGCAAACTGTTTGAGATTCAGTAAAATTTTGAATTTTGATGTCATAAAAAATGACATTCTGTTAACATTTAAAAAAATTTCATAAAATCATATTAAAAGAACATGTTTACTCGAAATTTTTTTAAAAACCTGAAATCAAATCTAATATTTTTTTTATATAAATAAAAAAAAAAAAAAAAATTTATTGAATCATTACTTTTGTTATTTTACAAAAAAAAATTTTTTTTTTAATTTTAAAAAAATTAAACAATAAAAAAAAAAAAAAAAAAAAAAAGATATTTAGGCAAAATTGATTTTTTTTTAAATTTTTTTTTTTTAAATTTATTAAATTCTTTTTTTTTCTTTAATTTTTTTTTCAAAAAATTAAAATTAAGAAAATTTTAATTTTTAAAAAAAAAAAAATTTTATTTTAAATATTCAATTTGAAATAAAATTTAAAATTCAATTTAGATTTTTTTATAAATATTAAATTTATTTATAATAAATAAAAAGATTTTGAAATGTTTTAAAAAAAAAATATTTTGTTTTTTTGAACTTGAAAAAATTCAAAATTATTTATAATTCATAGGAATTAAAAAAAAATAAAAATAACATAATAAATATATTGATTAAGTTTTATGATGTAAAAATTATTTTTATCAAAAAGTGATTTTCATGATATAAATTTTGAAAATGTTTTTGCCTTTTTTACATTGTTGAAAATTTTTACGACATCTAAACCGTCGAAAACAAAAAATTAAAAAAAATTTATAATTTTATTTAAAAAAAAAAATTGACAAATCAAAAATAAAAAGGTGAAAAAAAAAAATAAATAAAAATTGAAAATAAACAAATTATTTCAGACCAATCAAAACTTGAAAATAGATGGTATAAAAAAGTTTCTTTAATTTTTAATGATTCATTTTATATAAAATTTAGGTAAAAGATATTTAGATGTAAATAAAATTCTCGAACAAAAAATAGTAGATTTGAAATATTTCTTTTTGGTTTTTTTTTTTTTTTTTGCCTAAATTTTTGTTACAGATATTTTTATTTTAAAAAAATCGAACACCGACATAAATTAACAGACAAAAATTTTATGAAAAATTTTAACCGAACAAAATTTTTATAAAAAAAATAATAATAATAAAATTTAAAATTATGTTTTTATGAAAAGATTTTACATGATGGGATATAAAATTTTTATATATTTTTAAAAAATAAAAAATTTGCTCTTCACAATGTAAAATAAATTAAATTTAAAATTGAAAAATGAAATCATTAGAATTTAAAATTTTGAAAATTTTAATGATAATTAAAATAAAAAATTTTTATTAATCTTAAAAAAAATTAAAAAAAAAAAAAATAAAAAACATCCAATTCTTTTAAATTTTGAAAATTAAAGCAAAATAAAGAAAATATTTTTCTTTAAAAATTAAAATTTCAATATAGAAAAAAAAAATATATATATATTGAAATAAATATGTATGCTCAACAAAAAAGTTTGTCAATTTGTTTAAATAGAATGCATCTTGTTATTATATTATAAAAAAATAACATTTGGAGGTTATAAATTAAAAACCTCATTTTCCTAATGTTAATTTTATTTTTGAACAATTGGCATTTAATATTTTTAAAAAATAAAAAAAAAAAATGGAAAAGATTCAATATTTCTCATTTTTTTGAAAGAAAAAAGGCCATTTTTAATGGGTTAATATGACATATTCTAAATTTCAAATAAAAAAAGAGAATCTTTAATTTATATATATATATCATAATTCTCAATTTGATTTACATACAAAAATATTAATTGAATTAATAAACATAAGTCAAACATTTAAAAAAAAAAAAAAAAATAGGTTAAAATTAATAAAATAAATTTTTTTATAAATAAGAACCATGGCAAAAACTTAAAAAAATTAAAGGAATTTTTAAAAAAAAAGTAAAATCAGAAAATCTTTCAAAAAACCTTGGTTTAAAATAAAAGTTAACTTGAAAGAAGTTGTAATATTAAAATGTTTAAAAAAGTTATCATTTTTCCTTTGCATTAAAAAAATTTCAACAATAATTAATTTAAACAAATCAATGAGCCAAAATTTCGTGTTTTTTTTTATTCTTAATCTTTATATTTAACCTTTAAATTTTTGTTAAGGGAGAAATGATATATATATATGATTTATATATATATATTGATAAATTTTCTTTTATTATATATTTTTATTTTTTTCTTTTAATTTTTTTCCTGTTTTAAAAATATTTTTGATTTCACAAAATTTTGTTAAAAATAAATAAATTGAATTTTAAAATAGTCACTTGAGAAAATTTCAAAATTCAAATTTTTTCAAAAGCCTTATGATAAATATTACATTTATACACATATAATTTTTTTTTTAGAACAATATAAGTTGATAGAGAAAGTCAATTTTTTTTTTTTATTCAATTAATATTATTTTATTCATAATATTAAATTTGATTGAATTATTTATATTTTTAAATTGTTAAAAAAAAAAAGGAATAAATTCAAATATAGGAAAATTTTTTTCCTTTAAAAAAAAAAAAAAATCAATTGAAATTTGAACATAAAAAATTTTTCTTTGTTCAAAAATTTTATTTTAAAAAGAAATTTTTTTTTGAAGAAAATTTTTATTTAAAAAATAACAATGACATAGTTAGACCATGGAAATTTTTTTAAAACATCAAAATGAATTTTATAATTGATTTATTGTGTAATTTATCTATTTGATATGAAATATCCAATTTATAAGTTAAAATAGATTAATTCGTTCTTACAAGTATCTAAAAATAAATTTCAATAGAATTAAAAAGAACGATTTCAATTATTGATTTTTTGTGGAACCTGGTAAATAAATTTTTAAAATTTCATGAGGAAAAAACAATTAATTTTTATGGTTAAAATTTATAATTTTTGCCAGATTTATAGGGAAAAACAGAAAAAAAATATGTTTTTTTTTTTTCTAAAAAAAAAATAATCAAAAATTCATTTTTTATTTTTAAATTAAATTTTTAGCAATATTGTTTTGATCCAATAAAATCGATCGGAATGAAATCGGCATGCCTATTTTATCTTATAAGCAACGGAATTGACAAAAAAATAATTAATTATTATTTTAGTTTTTTAATAAAAATTTGTAAATAAATGAATATAAATCATATAAATTTCTGAATCTTTTATTATAAATATTATTAATTACATTATTTGGACTATTGTCCTCATCTTTGTCGCCATATTTTCCACAACATTTTGGCGTTGTTTGCCTCCGGCCTTCTTCAGGTGTTTTGGAATGTCGAACTGAACCCTTTATTTTTTCACTGGGGTAGACTGTTCTAGTTCCACGTGCCATGTTTGATGGATGTCAGTTATCAGTTATCTCCTGTTAATTTTCCCTCTGAAAGTTCTCCACTGCCTTAACCAGGAATTGAACTCACCTTCTT